CGCACAGCACGCGCGTGCAAACCACTGCCGTCATTTTTGACGGTTTAGGGGGTTTCGTGCATGTAAAAGTATATTACAAGGGGGTATGGCGCAATTTTTAAAATACAGGGGTAAAACGCGCAAATTTCGTATAATACAGGGGAGTTTGGCGCAATTTACCCGTTAAAAATGTTTGGATTTTTTTGAGTACTTTTGTATCCAAGCATTAGTACTTAGCAATCACTGCCTACTTAAAACATTATATGCGCTCACTCTTTAATTAGGGGTGTTTGTTTACAAAATATTTCACCCACGTTTAATCCATACTCAAAATTTAATTCAGTTTTAATTCAACCCCACTATCCTATCCTTAATTGTATTTATATAATATAAATCAATCATTCTTACACATCACATCAACTTTAATTCAATACCCATTCACTCACATAATTTAACTAACTATTAATTCACATCATCCCTCTCTTACTTTTACATAAAATCAACTTTTAGTTATCTTATATTAAATGTTATTTTAATATAAACTCAAAATTCTACCAACAACTAATCATACCACCACATTTTCCAAAATTAATTTGTAAAGAAAGCTTTTACAATTTGTTGAATTTTGATTTTGGAATATTTTGCAGGTGAGTTTGATGAAGAAAGCAAACCTAATACTTCTTTTCTTTCTTCTCCGTAAACTCATCCTACCCTTGTACTCCTTCACCCTCTTCTGCATCATCCTTCCGTTGACCATGTTCCTTCCTGAAGCCCAACTCCCTCCGTGGGTCGTCTGCTACATGCCTGGTCTCGTGTCCATACTAAACATCCTCCCTTCCCCACAATCTTTCCCCTTCATTGTCCCTTACCTTCTATTTGAGAACACAATGTCTGTTACAAAATTCAATGCCATGGTATCAGGCCTTTTCCAATTAGGAAGCTCCTATGAGTGGATTGTGACCAAGAAATTGGGCCGCTCTTCGGAGGCTGATCTGCTTGCCATCGCGGTGAATGGGACTGCCGAGAAGTGCCAAGTGGCGAGATCCAGCTCAGACTCGGGCCTCAGTAAGTTGGGGGGAATGAATAAGAAGAGCGGGAAAAGAAGAAATCGGTTGTACAGAAAGGAGCTTGCACTCTCGTTTATTTTGCTGACTGCCTCGGTGAGAAGCTTGATGTCAGCCCAGGGGATTCATTTCTATTTTCTTTTGTTTCAGGGGATAACTTTTCTAGTGGTTGGCCTCGACTTGATTGGGTAACAAGTGAGTTGAACGAGTCGTGAAAGAAGTAACAGAAAATTCTGAAAAAATTCCTTCATTTTTTAGCTTCATCGTTTTTTGTACATGGTATAGCAGCAACATGTTTGGTGGAGATTGGTTTGTGCTTAGTGAGGACTAGTAATAGTAGTGTAGGTAGTGGCTGGATAAAATTGGTTGTTTATCGATAGTTGTTAGATTGATGTATCCCAAATATGTGTTCAAATTCCTTTCCCATTCTTTATTGTTGTAATTGGCTTCGACATCTCTACAACTATTTGCACTTTCAATGGGAAGTCCTGCATAAATTTCTCTGAAATGAGAAATTTCTAATTCGAAACTTTTGTCTGTAATCGCTACATCCTTTTTCTTTTTCTTTTGAATACTACTCCTAAACTAGTAACTGCAAGAGAAAAAAATGTCCATATCTAAGTATTGAATTATACATTGATCAGAAAGCAAAGGGAATATCAGAATGAACAGAAAGAAGGAGAAATTTTTTATTGAAGAGAGATGAATTGATACCCGATACAAAAATGAAATGTGATGGTGAAACCATAATTTCTATCTATTTATACCTAGTCTAACCTAAGGGTAGAATTGTAAATATACATAAAAAATTATTTACATAAAAACCTATTTACATGTAACGCCCCATTTATTTTAATCAAAGCATGACACGTTTTGCATATAATTGACAACTCGACTAAGTGTTCTAATCTTGGTTTTAATTCAAATTCCTTTTAATAAAAATTAAATAGATGTTCTCGTCTATTTAATTTGCTTAATAATTTTACCTAATCAAATAAAAATTAAGTGAATGTCTTTGTCCTCTTAATTCTTCTAAATTTATTGTTTTTCTTGTTTTATCAAATTTTTCCTAAATGCCTAACTGTGTCTAAGTGTGTTTTTGCCCAAGTAACCTAAGGGCTCGGCTATATGTTTCCTTCAAGCCCAAGGCAAGCTAAACTAAGGTGCCAAATTATTTTCCTAAGTGATCTAAGTTTGCCTACGTGTTCCAAATTTGCCTAAGTACTAGACTAAGTGTCGCAGGGGTTAGTTTTAGACTAGAATGTTTCGCCCACTAGCACCTTATGCAACCTGATTACCCATAAACCAGTCAGTCTTTCACCGTCCCTCGATCGTTAGCTCGCTCAAGTATTAATCGAGGTTATACAAGCACGTCATTCACACATGCATGCGGAAGCAATCAAGTAAATCAGTGACACGCAATATTACGGGCCCACGCCCAACCAAAGTACTTTTATAACACAATGTACAATGGAAGACCCTACAACTTGCATACACGGTTCAACAGACACACTCTTGTGCACGCATGCACATATACACGTATACTAATACCGGCCTTGCAGAGATTGGACTTACACACGCTCTCTATGATACTTTGGCGTATGCCAACTCAAGCACTCACTAGCATACAATACACAGATTTCGCTCGTACACTAGCTCGCTCATCTGTTTTGCCTTGCCTTGCACCCTCGTGTTTAGCACTCTTCACACAGATGCTCTTTCCGAGTTTATAAAGTGTGTTTCGTGGTCACTCGCTTGATCACGCTTGTTCCCTTGTTCTCTCGCATAAATGCCCGCCTCGGTCAATATATAGACATTGGGTCTCGCAACCTTCAACTACTTGGTAACCGCTTGGAAATCGACTGGTAGATTTGCTCAACTGCTCCCTGGCACGTGCCCACATCCATCTGATACTAACTCAGCCCATGCAACGAAGGGGCGCCAACCGCCGTGCATATCTTTATCCAACTCCCACACAGGTTAGAAAACTGTCTCGGCCATGTGTCCCTGAAACCGTCAAGCCACGTGCCTCATTTTCTTTTGTTCCCACTTGGCCATGCAATACACGAAGGAATCCCGCCTAGGCCACGTGGTACTAGTAATAACCAACTAGTTCACGTGCAGCCCAACTGCAGCATTCAAATTCTAGCTGTTCCCGTCAACAACTTAGATGCGGTGCCAACACTCGCGCGTGCCCGTCGAGTTGCATCGTCCGAAGCACTCTCGTGCCCGAACGTGCCTAAGTCCGACCATGTGTTGTAAGATTAGCCAACACCCTCGTCCGAGTTCATCAGTGCGCTTGGGCGTCGCCCATGCCTGCGCCTTACCCGACAAATATGCAAAGCACTGTGCTGCCTCGCACCATGCCGTCTCGAGTTTAGCCTATGTACCCGCAAGGCCATGCACAACCCGCGGTAATCCTCATCCGATCAGGTCCTCGACTTATCCAACCAACATGATCTGACCAACACTTGGACAAATATAGCTAAGTATCGCACATGTGACTTCGTCGCCCCATGAAGACCTGACTGAACCCAAGATCTAGCCACAAGGACGCTCCCAGCTCGTATCCTTCCCTTAGTCGACACCGTGCATGCCACTGTTCGGGTCTTTCGAACCTTGGCACTCTAAGGGATCGTGCCAAGTCCCGGGCCTCAAAATTACCCCCGTAATAGACCTCCCCCACTCAAGTTTGTCGACGCCCTCGTCGACGTGGGGAAATTTTGCAAGCTTGCCTCGAACCTTGCTATCTGCCTCGTGAATGGGACCAACTAAACATTCTGAACCCAAGTTGCCTTAGCTATCGGCTCACCTTTCCACTGGACCAAGTAAAAAGTCCGTCTTTTACTTCCTCGTCCTCGGGTCCTTCGGTCCAAAATCATATGAACCTTTCTCGTGAGTTCACCTTTGCCCTCAATCAAGTCACGATCAGACTCAGTACAACAAGTACTCGGCCCCTCCAAATAGCACTTAGTTGTTGTACTAAGGTAAAGTAGTGTCACAACTTTGGAGGCAGGGAGATGACACGTGGATGGTAAAAAAAGGTGACACAACTTTTGAGTCGGGAAAGCCAAGCGTCCGAAGCACGCCTCATGTATTGCCCGTCCCTTTAGCTTGTGTCATCAATGCGCAGAATTGTTAGAACCACACGTGCCACGGAGAAAAATCTAACCAGCCAACTAGGACCTTACTATCAAAGTACGACCTCAGAAGAAAAGCCGAATACCTTCCATCCTAATAGTTCGAAGTCAGGTCGACATCTGAGCGACAGAAAGACTGGGCTCAACAAAGAACATAGTTATTAGGAGCGATGCACATATCATATTTTTAGGTCGGCACCATCGCACTAGGAGGATGAGTTGACCAACCTTAATGCATAACATAGAAAAAAGACCCCGAAGATCAGGAGATGAAGACAGGTCAAGTTATGGAAAAAGTCCAGCCTGAAGATTCGATAAGGCCAGACCTTGGTGCACACTCAGGACCTGAAAGCAATAAAATATTGTCACTTATCGAGTGATGATTGTTGATAGGACGCTCCACCCTAGTTTGCGGCCCTACTAAACATAAGACTGTAGGACAGTCTGTCAGCATTAAATGCATTCCACGTGTGCATTTAATGTCTGGTAGGCAATCATCAGTTTAATCTCAAATCTCATTTAATGCCCGTCAGAACTGTACCTAATACCTATCATTCCTAGTTACTGTACGAAGTGAAAGGATGAGCATGAAATGAACAGTACCTAGTTTGTAATAGTATAATAGGCAACCACCCTCATTTATTGAGGGTTGGTTGAAAAATCTAGCAACTTTCTCTCTCTCTCTCTCTCTCTCTCTCTCTCTCTCTATATATATATATATATATATATATATATCCCTCTGTAACAAAATACTTTAATGAAACAAAGTGTGAGAGAGAAGTCGACCTCAACAAAGAAGCAATAAGTTTATTTCCTTGTGAATCTTTTCCCTTTTTAATTTTTGTCAATAAAGTGTTAGAAAGTTTAATGTACGTAGTGCTTGTCTTCTTTAATTTTATCTTTCAATAACCAATGCTATTTTATGTGTCTTGAAGTAGTGCTACATAGAGCTTATACATAATATCACATCATGTCTTCTAGTCATTATTTTTGTTTTATGTTGTTCTAGTATGAGTTTAAAAAAACAATACCTTCTTTAAAGCTAACCTTTTCTCTATGTGGTTGCATTAAGTATGGATAACTTTGAAGAAAGATGGTACGATTTTCGCCGGAGAGTTGTGGCCCACCTAATATGCATAATTGACTTTTATTGTTACATTAAGGCGCCCTCCAAAAAAAAGTTACTTATGGCATGAGTTCCAAGAGAGAAAAAGGCACGCCAAGAAATACTTTACAGAATTACTATAATAAAGATTTTAAGAATATTACTAAAATGAGTCCAAGAGCTTTCATGAGCTTATGTGCTATGTTGGAAATAGAGGGTGGGCCAAAACCTACACGGTGGTCATCAAGTTGGAAGAACAAGTTGCTAAAACATTATATATATTAACGCATAAAGCAAAGAATCGTGAGGTGAACTTTTGGTTTCAACGTTCTGGTGAAACGATTAGTCGACATTTTCAGCAAGTATTGAAGGCTATAATTGAGTGTGAAAATAAACTACTTGTACAACCTAATGGTTCTACCGTGCCAGCTGAAATTAATGTCAGTAGTAGGTTCTACACTTATTTTAAGGTAATTATTGTCATTAATGAATAAATTTAGTAAACATTCTTGTTTTCTTTATTAATTAATACTAATATAAATGTCATGATTATGTTGGTCCTTTTGATGGGACTCACGTGCAAAGGTATCTCAAATAGATGCTCCTCGTTATCGTGGGAGAAAGGAATTTCCAACACAAAATGTGTAGTTGCTTTTACATTTGATTTAATATTCAAATATGTGCTTCCTGGATGGGAAGGCACTGCCTCTAACAAGAATTATAAAAAAATGCATTAAGGAGAGAAGGTAGGCTAAAAATTTCTGAAGGTAATTGGAGTTGTAATCTCAAAATGTATTTCATATAACGTAATCTATTATGACACAACACATTTTCATCTTAAGAATTATATATTTTGTTATATTAAAAAAATATTATCTAGTGGATGCAGGCATCATGTTAACAAGTGGACTAATTACACCTTCTAGAGGAGTTCACTATCATTTGAA